CTCCAGCTCTCTAGGAGCCCCTTTAGGCTCCAGGAACCTTCTGTTCTCCAGCCTGAACACCCCTATGCTATCACACAAAGCAAAGCATATTTTGGGGTGGCAGAATAGAATTGGTATCAAGGGCTGCCACTGAACATTGAAAACCACTGCAACCTTCCTTTACAACATTTTATCATCCCTGCTGATGGGACCACCAACATGTCAAAGAGGTATCCACTAGCCACTATGTCTTTGCAATCACCCCTGAGTCACTTTTTACTGTGGAGGTGGTGAGACACTGGCACAGGTTGCCCAGGGAGGTTGTGGATGCCCCAAACCTGGCAGGGTTCAAAGCCAGGTTGGACAGGACTTGGAGCCACCTGGTCTGGTGGGAGGTGTCCCTGCCCGTGGGACAGGAGGTCAGGACTAGATGATCTCTAAGGTGCATTTCAACCTTTTAACATACTAGGAAACTATGAGCAGCAGATCCATGCTCAGCTAACTTCATGGATATTCATATCCAAGAAAACATACCAGTCCGAGATGCCTTGGGACACACTTGTGACTCACAGTTTATATTGCAGGAAAGAACAGATTCATGAGCAGGGAGCAACCAGCAAAGAATGGCCACATTCACTGCCCAAGTGAGGCAGCTGAGGAGTGGTGGATCAACCCAGACAAGCTGCAGATCATCATTGCAGCCTGATTTCTGCAGTGTAAGAGAGCTCCTTCCCATCTCCAGCTTGACTCCAAGACTGCTCTGGGAAAGATCAGTCATAAACAGCTCTGTTATCTCTGCAAGGCTTCAGGGGCTGGATGCTTCTGCATGAATTTCCCTTTCCTTGGCTTCATTAAAGAACCTTAAACAGCTTTGAAACCTGATACATTGCACCCAACTGATAAAGAAGGTTAATACTTTTGCTTCTTTTCTCACAAAAGATACCTCAATTTTATAATCTATTATTTTTATTTACTCAGAGCTGATAATGAATTTTTCAAGCAGGAGAAATTACCAATTACCTTGGTAAAAGATGAGCACCTTGTCCAAGAAATCTTGGAAAGAGGAACTTTTCCATTTTCCCCCAGTGGTTAATTTGTTGTACCAAAAATTGCACAATCCACTTGCTGCCCTGCAGCTTCTTTAGATTTTTCTCCAGTTTTAATTGGCTATGAAAGTGCGATGGTGGTATATAAGCACACAGAGTTTGGCTGGAGTTGATGGAGTAGCAGCAAGTCTGTTTGAGGGGACTTGGACACCAGTTGCAAAACTCAGCTCCTTAATCAGATTTTGAGCACTTCAAAGAGGCTTCAAATCTCAAGTTTGGGTTTAGTTCCCTGACTTGGAAATCTGGATCCACCCCAAGCACTTGGAGGTATTCAGATTTCCAAACCCTTTCTAATTTCAACAAGCTAAGCAAGGCCAAGGTGTCTTAGAAACCATTTCAGGCTTGCCCTGAAGGCTTTGAAATCCCTTCAGCAAAGAGCTCTGAAAGGTTTTGGAGTACCTGAGTGCACATTTTCCAAGTGGACTTTCACATGGTTCCACTAGAAGGTAATTCAATTCCCTTTCCTGCCTGAAAACACACAATAAGTCTGCATAATGTGATCCCTCACATTAGAGAGATCACCAGTTAGATTATCCCTTCCACCCACCTGCCAGTGCAGGATTGTTCCCTACAGCATACACTGAAATCCAATATGTCCAAGGTGTTCTGTCCTGCTTCCAGTGTGCTCTGAGCAAGCACCAGACCTGGGGGAGAGGGAGGAGGGAAAAGGCTTCTCCTGGATATGATGCAAAACTGCTCATTTTTTGCAACAAAAATGCAGCAATATGAATATTTTAATCCAGGAACAGGAAAAGGGGTAGTTAATGGGCTCTTCTCTCCTCTGAATCCCTTTGGAGGCAGAAAGCAGGGCTGGAAAGATGGCAAAGATGCTCAGACTGTAGTCTACTGAATTGTGGGGATAGAGGAATGTGCTGTAACACCTCATGGGCTGATGTCTGCACCCAGAAAAAGGCCAAAAATGAAACAGGCAGGTGGAGAAGAGAGAAGACAAACTGAGGGACCACCACAGAAAAAAACCCTTTTTGACTGCATTTGCCATAAAAGACCTTAAAATCTTCCCCAGAAAATGCTCATGGGCACAAAGATCAAATGTTCAGACACCTTCAGGACTGGACTTATAAAAGAAAACCCTGTTTGGGCTATTTCCATCTGAATGTTTTTATATCTTTGCGGAGTTACCACGAACCCCATTTTCTCCTGCCTTCTCTAACAGCCCTTTTGTGCTCCTGCTCCCTCATCCTTGTCATTAGGCATTATCTCTGCAGCCCTGCAGCAGGCTGGAACAGAGCCATTGCATTTAAAATACATTTAGATGTCACTTCATGAGAGAAAAATTGCAAAGGGAAAAAGGCAACCACAGGAGGAGGAGGGCAGGGAAGATCCCTTCCCTCTCCTCACTCCCCTCAGGAAGAATGGACCAATCTTTAACACATTTTACACCGACATCCTCTACTCATTTACTGCAGAAAAGGGGCTGCTATGCCAATTTTGAGACACCAGGCATCTCCTCAAGAGCCTGCAGATGGATTGTGATGAAAATGAGCCCAACTCCACATGACCTTAAAACTTGGCCTGAGAGATTCCTGCAACTCAGTACGGGACTATCTCCCCCTCCTCCCCTCCTCGAGTCATCAGCATCTTGCACATCTGAGAACGAGGAGGGTTTCCTGACAGGTTCCTTTTGAAAATCATCCCCTCCTGCCTTAATATCTCGGCCTTCTAAATCCTCACTCAATCTCACTTCCCCTGGACCCTCTCCTGGCAGGCTCACAATCACTGCTGTCGCCCAGCTTGGGATAAACTGATGCCTGCAATCCACATTTTCCTATCCTCAGAAGGCAAAAAAAGATCATTCAAGACCTTGACATATTTTTTCATCCCTAGCTGGGATAAAAATTCCAAATCTGCTGTAAAATGAGATTAGATGAAGGAGAAGAAGTCATGCCTCCCTCCCCCTTGAAAGGATTTCAGCTCATGGCAAATGTTTTACTTGGCAAATGTGTAATGGATTCAGTTTGGGTTTGACACAACCTGTTCAGTTCATGCAATTCCTATAAAACTCATTTCCAAATAGCCTCCACCAAATTTTTCATTCCAAAACAGAGTGGCACAACAAAAAAGCTCTTTTTCAAGACACAAATATGTCCAAATCCATACAAATCCACAAAAACATCACTTCCACTCAGATTTTTC